CCTGCCTTATGTAGGACATTTCTCCCGAAAATTTCACCCTGAAACCGAGGAAGGGAGGGAAGAAAGAAATTCTCAATTTACAGTCCAAGGCGTCGCGTGCGCGGGCGTAGACACGCAAAATCGTGCGATCGTCAAAAAGAAGTACAAGTGTGACTCAGCTGTTCCCGTAGGTCGCGTGTCGTTACGATCAAATGTCTTATTATAGTGTCTACGCTGTTGAAAACATGCAATAATTATATGATAATGCGCGCCGGTTGACGTGTTTCTTTCATTATTTACTGGTCAATTCACGAAAGAAAGTTTTTCGCTGGTTATAAATAACTTCGGATTTCTATAAGAATGTTACACGCTAGCTAAAGTTTCGCTATTATTTTCACGCGACACGCGTTCTAACATTCATTGAAATCGCAAATCGCGAGAGGATTTTTTATTTATGAGCGCATCTAAAATGCAAAAGCCCGGAAATTTTTTCGTCTGCTAAAAATTATGCGTTTATGCGGTGAATTTGTTCGCACTTTGTATACACACACATATATATATATATATATATATATACATATATATTTTTTTTTCTCGAGCGAAAATATGTTTGTAACAGCATTATATTATATGTCAGAACCATCGTTTTTCACTTTGTGTGTAGAAAGAAAAACGTATTTCACATTTTCCGACGTTCTTCAGCGTACCGCGGAGAAGCGTATGTTATTACATGATACGAGCTTCGATAAATATCGCAGAAACTAACGGTATTAGCGTAGTTGCTTATGTCATCAAACATAATAAAACCGCTGGGAAAAAAATTTCAATTTTCGTCTGTACCGTTGTTTTTTGTTTGAATACGATGTTGCCATGTACCTGAGACTTGATATTCTTATTAACGAGGAAGTTATTATCGGTTTCCACGACCTCGTATTTTACGTAGGTACCATACGATACAACTTTATCCGCATACCGCACTGACGAGGCAATTAATTCATGTGACAACGATTGAAGCCATTAATTTTCAATTGGTCGGCTTGACATTAATCGTAGGTTTATTAATTAGCTGTGAGATTCAAGGATAACGGCAAACCGGAAGAACGTCATCCTTGAGTGAGTTACGGGCAAATTGCAATGTTTATGCTAATTCTGATGTTGTATGTTGTTTCGTAGGTAGCATTAGGGGGTTATAAAATCTTTACGCATGGAAAAAGGCACTTACAGTAAAATGTTTACTGTTATGAGGACTAAAGGTACATAAAAAAACTTTATAAACGTAATGTTTAGAGATTTTATGAGAAAATATCGCAGAAAAAGTTGGAAAAATTTTATGAAAAATTACGAATAATTTAAAAAATGTTTGACAAAACCCAAACAAGATTTTTTTTAATTCCAATGACATTCTCTTTGTAAATATATACTTTCATCGATTGATTCTAACTTAAATTAAAGAAAAAATTTTTGTTATTTTTTAAATGGCAATAAAAGACCCAAATCTTTCGAAAAATCGTAATAGTTTTATCAATTCTTACTACACGATTGAGTCATTTATATCCTGCATCTTCTTCTTTGAGATACTAGGAGCTCGTGGCTAAATAATGGTTTATGTCCTTTCCTCTTTTTTTAATACATTTTATAAATAACTTAAACACTAGTTAAAGTGTTAAAGTATATAATGTAAGAATGACTTAATAATTTTTGTATACTGTAGACTGACATTGCATGATAATAACTTCCAAAGTCATAAAGCATGGAAGCTGCGGCTATTCGTGTGTAAAATTGGTCGATAAAAATGAGAGAGATTGTACGCGAAGATGGTCAGTCTCTGTCTCTCTCTATTCAATCAATCATATGGTAGAAAGAAAAGGAGATTGACGATTCCCTCTCTTTTTCTCTCATTTTTGTTGACCACATTTGATATAGGTATTATTTGGATACCAAATGGCGCAGTCTATACTGTGTATCTTTGATAACTTTCAATATATATTTGTTCATGTATAAAATAAAAATTATTCGTATCTGTGTAATTGTTTTTGTGATGGTACTGATGTTATTGTTATTTGTCACTGAGGAGTAGTGTAAGTACGCACGCATATATAAAAATTAAAAATAAAAGCTATCATAAATTTAAAGAGAAAAATTTTATTTTTGCACAAATAAATATTTCTAGCAAGTAATGTTTTATTCAGCTCAAAGTTTTGTTTTGTTTTATGTGAATCGGAATTATGTTTTATTTTTTTTTTAGGACAATTATTTTGAAATATTTAATAAATTAAATCGATGAGGCATCTCTTTGATAATATGGGACAAATATGATATAAACTAAGTAAGTCTCATATCATTTATATGATTTTAATGATAGTCCATATTATTTTCTAATTTTTTGTCCTGTTATAATCTAATCTCAAATTGTTATTTTGTTCTGTATAATTTCTTTTTCAATAATTTTTATGTTAAAGTCTTCAAAATGTTCGAAATTACAAAAAAATTTAGTTTATTACTATAAAGACATTTTTATTTTATTTTTTTAATAAACCAATTTATTCGATTGATTTCATTATTATTTCATTTACTAACGTATACAGCAGACCTGTAACATAAAAAAATGGACTATTAAAATGACTCCAATCAAAGAATATAAAATTAACTACATCATTTTTTTTCTCTTTCCAAAAATATTAATTTGTTAATTTTTTTTTAATAGCTAAATTGGAAGAAGCTAATTGAAAGAAGAAATGGATATTTCAGTCTTTAAATAATACCATAGATACTATATTAGATACTATATAAGAATTATGTTTGAAGATGTTTTTAAAAACTCTTATCAATTTCGCTCCGTTCAACTGTACGTGTAAAAGCGATAAGATATTAACCTAGTAATATCTTTGTAGAGATTGTATAAAAATCCACGAACAATTCATTGTGTATAGTAAAGAACCGGAAAAGAATCGTACTAAGTTAATTTAAAAACTCAGAGAAACAAAAAAAAGTTTCATGAAACTTTCGTGAAGTTCAATTTCTAGATATTTCTAAGATGCGTATTTAAAAAAAAAATTTATTAATATCTACTTCCGTTTATAAGATACACAAAGGAAAACCGACGTTTTTTAATTATTTATAACTTTAAATAAAATTACTTTTTTGCAACTTTTTATGTGTTATCTTTTTTACAAAATCTGTACAAAGGTTACGTTTATAAAAACGTTTCTTTTACATAATTCTTAGTTCTTAATTAATAGTAAGCGTTTTACTGCAGTGTCTTTCCGTGCGCAAAGTTCTTATCATCTCTTACGTAAATGTTGATTACACTTCACGAAAGTCACTGGTAAATAATCGTAAATGCAATGTTAAAAACGATTGTCGGCGCGTGCAGCGTTATGGGAAAATTTATTTTATGCGAACGATGAATTATAATCGTGAAAGTTTCAAAAATCAGATGATTTGTGAAACAGTCACGCCGTTTCGGTTCCAGAAACTCGTTTCCGGCAGACAAATTCTCCGTGGCTTTTCGCCAGACTTGCCACTATTCCTTCATCTCACCGACGCTAAGCTATCCCCGTTCCAATTTGCTCGGAAAATGTTTTTCCTCGCTCCGTGACTCGAAGCCGCGAACGGAGACGACTTGGAAATTGTAAGAACGTCTTCGCGCGCGTGAAGAAACGCTTGGACAAGACGAGACTTCTTCAGTCTTTCCAACATACACATATATCTCGTCGCTTAAATACTTCGAAGGTTCCTTGAACTTAAGAAGGTAGAACTCGGAGGATTCAAAGTTAAGAGCAAAGAATCTAATAGAAGAAAAATCAAGTCTTGCGCGTTTCGATCCGACGAGATACGAAATATTTTCCTCTTTTAACTCGCGTTAAACTTTTTAATGCGCATTTGTATTATTTTACTGAAATATCGAGAAGGAAAGTTTCTCTTTAATTCGTTTCTTGAAAATCGATTCACTTAATGAATTGAAGGAGCATTTTTCTAAGCGAGATTCGTCGTCTTAGAAAACGTCTTGGATGTCTTGGACAGGCGACAGGCAGGAAAACGTAAAGGCTTTGATAGCGATTTCATTCGATTCCAATTAAAGACCATTCGAGACGTCGTCACAACGTGTTACGTATTAAGTTTCTCTTCTTGATGCTGAAATGCAAGCAAAGATGCGATGCTGTCCGTTACATTCTTCATGCATTACCGACAACTCGATTCCTTCCACGTTTCCTCGGGAATCGACTACTTTAGCTCCAGCAATGACGACAAGAAGAATCGACACTTATCTCGGTCGATACGAGAAACGTGAGCAATAAAATAAACAACTAAATATTATAGAAGCCATAAAACGTACATTTGTATCTTATTTCATTAATACACAACTGCAACGGCTTTAACATAATAGCTATAAAATTGATTAACGTACCGTAATAATGGTATCTAATATTCCTATAATAGCGAGACTTTCGATCATCAAATTTCACTTATCTTCATCTCCGTTCCGCTATGTATGAAACCAGAATCCTAGAACTGACTATCCGTACGATCGCACAGGAAATTGGAACTGGTGCCTATCTAGCTCGATCTCATCCCGAAAATTCAATGATCGACGAACTATGCGCGCGCGCGGATTAAATATGCGTTATTATTGATTACTCCAGTATAAATCTAATAGTTATAGATATTAATTAATTTATATTTTGCAATTTTATACATATATTCGTATATCGAAAATCGTGTTTACTTAACTGTTACTAGAACCGCAGCTGTATCATTTTTGACTCATCTGATAGTTTTTCTTTTCCATTTAATTTGGATTTGCACGTGAAGCTTTAAATTTTTGTGGATTATTATAAATAATTATAATTACTAATAATTCTATTTTTGTGCTAATGAAAGTAAAAAGCTTAGATTTACCTTGAATCGCGATTGAGTTAATTTCAACCCGCGGGGTTACCCGCGTTCTAGTGTTAATATTAACTATTCCAATTTAGCCAACAAGTACAAATTTAATGACGCCAATTTTCATTCTATTGCAGAGTTTCAACGTACTCTCAACCCTCGCCATGTATGGATTTTGAACTTCCATTTTCAATACGAGAATCTGTGAAGCTAGGCGCGACGCAGAACGGTAAGTTTGATAGATTTTCTAATAGTTCGCTTTCCATTCGTTCGATTAGATTAGTATATCGCATTAATGTTATTGTTAAATGATGATTGCGAAACAGCAATTTAATGAGCGACTCGTTTAATTAGGATTAGAACAATGTGTTGAAGGACCCTATTAATGATAAATATTCACTGATCGATAATATAATAATAATAATAAATGTGCCCGACAAACGTAATTATTCTGTTGCACTCAGATTCTGAATCCGATCGGAAAATAGAGACGAACGATGAGACAGATCTCCGCACACGCGCACAGTACGTGTATCACTCTTGAAGAATAATTCAGAGAGCCTTCAACATGGAACACGAGTTACGGTGCGATGGTGCGATCGATTCGAATTTACGAGCGGTGCGAATTTTCTCGTCATGCTTCTTCCGCGTCTACACAACGTTTTCGTGATAATTATAAAGTATCGAGTAGAGAAAATTTCACGCTATAGGTACGTGAACCGTGCAAACGGAGATGAAATGTTTTTATATTAAATATAAGGATTTGCACGTTATAAAGATGTCGAAACCACGGTCGGTTTTCTCTCGTTATTTATTTAAGATAAATATTTATTTAATTCAGCTAAAAACGAAATTGTAGAGATTGTGTAATGATTTTTGCCTGTAAGCTAAATTTTAATTAAATCCTCATGATTGTTCATATGAACAGTTAGCTCTCGCTCAAACAATAAACGGTTATATTCTTGCGGTGAAACGCGCGGTGGAAATCATGAGTTGGAAAATTCACGACAACATAAAGCATGAAAGAATTTAAGCAAGAACCATAAGAGAAATAAATTCACTCGGGGATAGTTCCTGGAGAATTCCGAACGCTCACCTATACTGGATACATCGGCATTTTTGAGGATAAAAGAGACTCTGTGATACGATATCGAACACCAGTCTATCTTCTTACTAGAAGCAGAGAACATAAAATACAATAAGGGGAAAAGCGTATATCATGTATATGTCTGATCAAATTTCATGTATTACCACCGTATTTGTACTTGTTAAAAGGATTTTTTTAATTATCTAGGATATTTTACATTTTTAAATTAGATTAATAATTTAAGTAAGGAGAAATATAGAGCGATCGATTTATGATTTTGTCATGAAATTATTATCGAAGTAAAAGCTTTCGAACAACTTTGCGCTTGCTAAAAAAAAAAAGTCCCTATTTTTTGCATTTATTTAATCTATCGCAGCAAGCGAGCAATTGAATAATTGCTAAATACAAGACATTTTTTTACATGTTTAAGAAGGAAAGAGTCGCTCATGAATATTTCAGTAGCGCAAGCTCGAGTCTCTCTGAAACGTAAAAGTAAGAGGACTAAAAGAATATGGAAAAAGCGTATTTTTTTGTAAGAAAAGCGTTAATGTATTTTTCTTAAAAGACAAATGGTACGTGGAAACATTCTGCGCACTTCTCTCTCTCTCTCTCTCTCTCTCTCTCTCTCTCTCTCTCTCTCTCTCTTTCTTTCTCTCTCTCTATCTATCTATTTATCTCTCTGCTATACAAAAATTTTCGAAGAAATTTGTCGCGTGCAGAAAATAAACGGAGGCAAACATTTAGCTCCGTAAAACGTCATCATTAACTGTGCGTAGGTGCGGACTAAATTTAACATTTACACTGACATTGAACGTTATGTGTGATGAGAGACGCGTAAAATGTAGCGTAGGCGTGGGAAGTACGGCTGTTGCGTCATAATAAAAAAAAACGATGCGTAAAATTGCTAGTTAGAATGGACGTTAAAATTAATGATAACACGTACCGACTGACATGTGAGCGTGTTTTGGAAGGCTCGTTGGTTTCTCTCTTCGCATTGCAATCAATTCGATAAAGTTGATCGCTCGTATCAGTTGTCAAAGTGATTCGTAGGTGGTTTCGTTGACCTATTGGTTTGACCCTGTAGTCGTCGATTATTCTTCTCTTTTACGAATATCGCCCACGTAATTCTCTAACTTAAATATCCTGCTTTCCTCTGCAATGCAAAGGATTTCCCACGCGTTTATCGTCCATCAACCTACGCATTTCTTTAATGAAATAAACTATATTTCACAGTAAAACATGTAGGTAAAACGGGGTTAGTTAAGTCAAGGGGCAAGTTGGAAAATGTAAATATCTAAATAGCTAAAATACTTGTTTATGCTTGCATAAGATAGCACAAAGACGGAGATTATTGCGCTGAATGCAATTTATCAACAGCCGATCACCTGTGCTTTTTCGTTTTCGTACATCAAAAGTAAAATTATTACATGAGTATTCTTTTTAATCTATATGATAATTGAAACGATTAATAAAAACAAAACGTGTTTTTTAAATATAAGTCATTAGTATTTTTTTTAGCTTTAATGTTCAAATTGCTATTTTATTTACGGTTTTTTAGTTTAAAAAAAATATTTCAGTCGACACTGATACAAAGTTTTTTTTAGCAAAAATCATTACATAACTATAAACTTTATAAATTCAGATGCTTAAATAAAATCTGTTTTTATTGATGTTTTTTATTCTATGTTAACGATTAAAAATATATTTTGTTTAATTTTTGTTATAAACGTACGATAAAGTGTGTTAAATTTTTTGAAATTTTTTAAAAATAATTAAACATTTAACGAGAGAGTATTACCAATTATCATACGTAAGATAAAAACTTTAATAAAAATTTAAGTAATATACATATATATATATATCTTTCATTTTTTAATAATACATAATCTTATTACAAACAATTATCTTCATGGTTCAGCTTACTCTTTCGGGATTGCTCTACATGTCTCATGGGTGGAGTCCATTAACTCACTTTGCCTCTTTGTAATAAAAAAACTTTGTTTTTTTACTTACGAAGCATATTAAGGATTTATAAGTATTAATTATTAATCATATGAACATGCAACATTTTAAAGCAATTCTCAATAGTCTATCATAATTGTATGAAGATTTACAATAATTGTAACAAAAAATGTCATAATTAGCTCCGCTCTAATGGGAACAAATATTATACATGTGTATCAACAGTCCATTTAATCTTTTGAACATTGTTCGAATGATTCGATTTACCAGACATTCTCTCAGTGAGCTCAGTGAATGGATTATTTCCATTATGCGTCTTGTCTGTGAGCCATTCGCGTAAGGAGTAGATTCCCACGAAACAACATTAACGAGCAAGTTGCAAAATGGCCGGGGGAAGTTGAGCCGGTGGCTGAATGGATTAAAGCGCAACTACGTAGAGTATGGAATATCCGGCTTCGGGGCTCTCCTTCCCTCCCCTCCGAACCCATGCGAAACTTTTCGCAATTGTTAAAGTATTAACTCACTTTTAAAGCGGCTTTACTTTCGCGCGTTTTTTGCCGGCGTGGAGTTACGCGAAACGGCACAAGAAAGCACTCCCCGATAATTAACTTAATTCGCGTTCCCACGTAGCCCTCTGTACGCGAATAGTATTAAACGGCGGTCGCTGATAACAATGCAATAATCGTGTTTATGCTCGCTCTTGTAAAACATTTTCATTCGCGTGTTGTTATTACTTTCGAGAATTTCCCTTAATCTTTTGTGCATAGACAGAGTCATTTAGAGTCATCCTTTTTTATTTCATAAATTGTTTGTTTGATTTTTATGAAACTTTATGGATAATGCTTTATTCGAATTTGAGATCAAAAATAAAAAATTTTAAATAGTCAATTCAATATGATAGATGGAAATTAAAAATAATCTAATTATCAACATAAAACTCAATTTTAGGGACTTTTTAATTGTGAAGTACATATATATAACAGTTTCCAGTTTCGCTATACTTCTCAGTGTTACGTAAACATAGTTAGTACTAATTTCCGGACTGACTTCTAAACTCTGATTATGACTTGTCATATTATATCCTCCTTCATTGGAGGTTATTAACCTTCTGAAATTTGACATTTTCAGGCTATACATTTAAACTCAGCGATATCAGAGAAATCTCCTGAGACCGAGTTTTCCATGACAATCGAATTATTTTTTTAAGTGAAATTTTAGAATTCTGAGACCAACATTGAAGCGACTCTAAAAAGCAAAATTTTTCTCTTCATTGTTAAAAAGCTGTTCTCAAAGGATTAAATTTGCATCACGTCCTATATATTAAACCTTCCTGTTTCTATAATTGTTCTAAATATGTCTTAAAGTATTTCAAATATGCTCTAAAAAAAGAGCGTAAACGATTCGCGTGCTCAACTGCTATTATTGTCTCTTGGAGATTTGATAGCACGGGCAACTTCTAAAAATATTTGGTTAAACTTTGCCGGTGTGCATTCTATACTGGTTACACACTAATAAAAAAATGGCACATAAACATTGCCCGACTATTTTAAGAAATATCCTAGCGTGTCCAGAAACGTTTCCCATTCTAGAAAGAATTTGAGGTCGACTTGCCTGGGCTGGAGCTCTTCTCCCGTAGCGACCTCATTCCATTTCCTCCTTTTCTATTGCGTTCTCCTCGTGTGCGGAACTGATGGTAAAATGACCCCGATGCTATCACGATTGTATTTTGTAGCGGGTGGCACCATGAAATGACGTTACTTGTATGAGAACGAGAACGTAACAAAAGTTAGATGAGGTGTGACATTCAGTTGGACCGGTCACAGCACGAGTTACAAACTGTAAATCCTTACTTACGTATGAGTTCTAAACATTATTTGAAAGAGAAAAGAAGAATAACATGATATTTCACTGAATATCAAATGAACAATGGTAACCCAATCCTTTAGTTTCCTGAGTTAAATAACATTTACATAATATTTAAATAACATTTTGTTGTTTAACTTACATGTGTATCAAAATGTAAAAAATCAATCCATTCCTGTGGTTGGTTTCAATGTAAATAACGTCTATAATAATATATGCGCTAATAAATAATAAACTAGTCAAATTTAATATATTTTCTTAAGTGAAATTGTTTAACTCCGTTATTTTAATAGTTAAGTTAAATTAACGGCATACCG